CGACCGGCAATTTTGTTCCCCGTGGGGGCAGCTCGCGGTTTTATTTTATAAAATCGCTTCGAAGAACATCGAACGAACTTTACTCAAACGCGAACCGCGACTATCGTTTCAACTTATGACATAGCGCGCGTTAAAATGAGTTGTAAGACTCGTAGTTTAGTTTAGTTTAATTGACAGTTAAGTTAATTGACAGTTTGGTATCTTAAAGAATGACTGGCGAAAATTTTTTCAGAGCGAGATTGTTCCTTTATCTTTGATAGCTGGCTGCAGCCAATCAGTTCCGACTTTTTTCTCCAAGTTGATTAGACGTTACTCTACAAATGTTTCGTACATAGTAGGATTTTCGAGTTGGAGTCTTGATTCTATTTTTCTGCGAGATCGAAGGGACCACGCGGCAACAACTATCGCCCTATACCACAGCGTACCCTTCTCCAGAGCAGGAAGAAATTACCCTATCTGCCAAACTGTGCACGCACGTCGACGAAGGAGATAAACAGGCGGCTGATACTCGTACGGAACAAAGGTGGCGGTTTGGGACAGGGGGTTGCGCAGAGCTGACGTATCGCGTCGTTTAGCCAACGTTCGTTACGGGCTGGAAACGGGCTGGAAACAGGGCGCTGGGAGCCGGGGCGCGACGTCGACGGGGTAGCGCAGGTTAACACTTTAAGCCGTCCTGTTTAATATGGCTTTATTACGTAGGTGGTAACGAACCGCCGGGAGGCCATTATGCGGCGATAAAATGCGCAATGCACCTACACATCGTTCCGCCCCCGTCCACCTGGCGCGCGTCTCCGCCGGTAACACGCACGCACACGAATGCCGCGCCGCCGACACTCACACGCGTCCAAGTTGACCGACCCGCGCACACTTCCGTTCCACGCGTTTGTCTCTCGCGAGCGAGCGACGCGCACACTGGCTGCGGTCGTTCGCCACCGTTACGCAGTCACCATGGTTACTCGAAATTCAATTTGCCTTTTCGATGGGGCCTATGCACGCACGCGACACGTCGTTCGTTGATTTTTTCCAGCTTTTTCCCTCCTGCCCTTTTTTCGTTTCTCTTTTTCACGCGTACGCACGCACACACACACGTCTCTTCCTCTCTCTCTGTTTGTTTCTCCCTTTTTCTTTCGCTTTTTTTTCTTTTTTTTTTTTTTTTTTTTTTTTTTT